TATAATCCCAATCATGTCAATACCCCACATAGAGAAAGGCCACGGGGAAGAAATAACATTTAGAAGTGTCGGAGGCACATGAATCTTGTCCGCATAAATCTGGCATTTATGGAACTTCTTTGCAAATCTGTAACAGTCAGATTCCATTGTCAACGAATAGTAACCTGCCCTTAGCATATTTTTAGCCATTGAATGTCCATTGGAATGAGTGCCAAATGAACCTTCATGAATCTCATGCATCAACATGTCTGCTTCATGTCTATCCACGCATCTGAGCAAGACCATGTCATAATTTCTCTTGTACAACACATTTTCATTGAGGAAGAAGTTGTCAGCCAATCTTATTAATGTCTTTCTATCTTTATTCGAAGCACCAACCGAGTATTCCTGAGTCTGGAGAAAATGTTTGATATCATAATACCAAGGTTTCTCATCTGCTACCTCTTCCGTTGTAAACACATGAGCGGGCCTATCCATTTGCCGAAATATAATTCGAGGTATATCATTCCAAGTATTCACTTGATACATAGAAGTCGGAGTTGCCAGAGCATCCGCCATTTGATTTTCATCTCTAGGGATGTGATGGAATTCAACTTTATTAAATAAGGGTAACAATCTTCTAGCATAATCTTTGTAAGGGATCAAGTCGGGGTGACGAGTATCCCACTCTTCTTTAATTTGATTTATTACCAAAGCTGAATCGCCATACACATCCAGATTTTTAATTCTGAGATCAATAGATTCCTCGAGACCCATGATGCAAGCCTCATATTCTGCCATATTATTAGTACAATCAAATGTCAACTTTGCAGTAAAAGGAATGTGTGATCCATGTGGAGTGATGATCACAACACCAATTCCTTTACCATAAGCATTTACAGATCCATCAAATATCATACTCCAGCGAGATTCAGGATCAGGACCTTCCTCAGGCAATGCTTCATCACAATCTTTCTCTTTGAAAAACATCACATCCTCATCAGGGAAATCATACTTTATAGACTAGTAATCATCAACTAGTTGGTGAGCAAGATAATCTGCCAACACACTGCTTTTCGAGTCGGTATTCGATGTCATATTCAGATAACAACATCTACCAGCGGGCAATTCTTCCAGTAAGAGCAGGCTTTTCAAAAATGTACTTGATTGGATCCATTTTGGAGATCAACCAAGTAGTGTGATTTAACATATACTGCCGCAAATGTTTTGCTTCCCAGACCAGAGCACAACATGTCTTTTCCAGCATGGAATATCGTGACTCACAATCAATAAAATTTTTATTGAGATAATAAATGGCATACTCTTTCTTCCCTGCTTCATCTTGTTGTCCTAGAACGCAGCCCATGGAGTTATCTAACACTGTCAGATACATAATCAATGGTCTTCCTTCAACAGGAGGGAGCAAGATAGAAGGTTCAAGCAGATATTCTTTAAAACTTTCGAATTCCCTTTGGCAGTCATCTGTCCACACATAACCTTGATCTTTCTTTAACAACTTAAAGATTGGTTATGTTGCAGTCATGTGGGAAATGAATTTGGAGATATAATTCAAATGCTCGAGAAACCCTCTGACTTTTTTTCAGTTCTCGGCGCTGGCATTTCGTGAATTGCTTTGAATTTATCAGGATCAACTTCAATCCCTTTCTAGCTAACAATGAAACCCAACAATTTCCCTGATCGAACACCGAAGGTACATTTATTTGGATTCAAGCAGACACGATACTTCCTCAAACTCTGAAACAAATTCAACAAGTCTTCTACATGCCCTTCTTCAGTCTGGGATTTAGCAATCATATCATCAACATATACCTCAATTTCCTTTTGCATCAGATCATGGAATAGGGTTGTCATAGCCCTCTGGTACATTGCACCAGCATTCTTCAACCCGAAAGGCATCACTCTGTAACAGAATGTTCCCCAGGGTGTGATAAACATTGTTTTTTCCATGTCCTCAGGAGCCATCCTTATTTTATTATACCCGGAAAATCTGTCCATGAACGAGAAAACCTTGAATTTTGCTGTGCTATCCACTAACATATCAATGTGTGACAATAGAAAATCATATTTTGGACTAGATTTATTTAGATCTATGTAATCTACGCACATGCGAACTTTTCCGTCTTTCTTCGGTACTGGGACAATATTTGAAATCCACTGAGGATACACTGATGTCACAATAAAACCGACATTAATCTACTTTAGAACTTCTTCTTTGATTTTTATTGCCATATCGGGTGAGTTCTTCGAAACTTCTGTTTGATTGGCGGTAACTCCGGCTTTAATGGTAAATGGTGTTCTATAATATCCGTATCTAGATCGGGCATATCTTGGTAAGACCAAGCAAAAATATCCACATACTCTTTCAACAACTCAATCAACCAGCTCTTCACATCAGGATGTAGCAATGCTCTGATCTTGACTTCTTTCGGATCTTCTTCTGAACTCAAATTGATTACTTCTAGTGGCTCTTTATATGGCTGAATGACATTCTCCTCACGCTCAAGCAACTGTGAGACCTCTTCTAGAATCTCATCATAGTCTTCTTCTTCGGCCCCATACGCAGGACATTCAAAGTTGGGAAAGGGTGCAGGCACTACAACATTTGTTGTCTCTGGCAACACTTTTTTAGGTAACATGTAGAAATTGTTGCCTTAAATTCATGTAGGCAACGATTTACGATTGTTGTCAAAAATATGTTTGCAACCCTTGATAATTGTTGCCTAAAATACTTTTGAGGACGTTTATGGAGCGATACTCTTTTATTTTTTTGCCAACGATTGTTAATTGTGCCCTTAACTGCTTTTGGCGACGATTTTAGAGCGTTAAAATATTATTTCTTTAGCAATGTTTGACAATTGTCCTCTAAAATATTTTTGGGGACATTTTTAGATTGTTACATTAGTTCTAATAAAAGGCTACATTTCTGAAATGTTGTATTAATTTTTTTAGCATTATCAAATTTTTGGTGGCAATCTTCCCTCCAAAACTTATACACTAAAAAACAAATATTTTTCTCTAAACATTATTAATATATATATTAAAAAAAATTTAACACATAATTATAAAATAATATTTAATTATAAGCATGTATTTATCCACATGGACTTAATAAAAAACACAAAATTATAAAATCTTATTACATGCTGTATCCACACTTAACAAAAAAATTAAGTCAAACTATAATTTCCATTACTCCTCTTGCGATGTCTCTAATCTTAAATGCAAATATTACCGTTAAGATAATTGAGAATTTGAAGACAATTGAGTTTGAATAAGCCATGACTAGAAGCATAATATCTACAAGACGTATATCAACCTTTATTTATATAATACTAAATAGTTTAGGCGCATTTCTTATTTTAAAAACTTAATATTTTTTTGCAACTTCTTTAATAATAATTATAATTTAATATATGTTGGTTTCATATTAAGGGACACCATAAAGATATAATCGTTATAAAAATTTAATATTTCTTTAATATCAAGTAATGTTTTTTAATAAAGAGTGAAACATTAATAACATTAATAAAGTTTTAATTTTAAAGGAGGAATTCAAATATTGTTATAATATATAATTATTATTAATAATGTGCTATGCATTTCATTTCATTGTTTCAAATTATAAAATATTTTAGATGTTTTATACAAATTATAAAATACTTTAGATATTTTATACAAATTAAAAAAATATAGTTAATTTATATGAGAAAAAGAAATTATATATGAATTTATAATATTGACCTTTATTTTACACAACAAATTAAATAATTAAAAAAAGAAATAAATGAAAAATGGTATATTATTAAAAGTATCACTAGTGTTGTAAAATGAATGATCGTAATAATTAAAATTGTAAAGTGATTTATAATTTAAGATAGTTTTATTTTGTAAAGTGATTTTTAATTTAGTACGGAGGAAATATATTATATTATCATGATATATCTATTATATATTTTTAAATTTATATTGTTAATTTAAAATTTTTCTGAATTTTTAAATTAAATATTACTTGTATTTTATAATTAGCTAGGATAAAACACATAAGTAATATTTTTCTGTAAAAAAAAAAAGGGAAATAGATATTAGTATTAATACTCATGGAATTGTCCATGTCTTATTAAAAAAAATAGAAAATAGAAATAAGAAAAACAACAGAAAAGGAAAACAAAAGCGTTCCATCTCCTTCTTCACACATTCCGCCGCTGAATACCGCTCTCAGACGCTCCAAGTCCAAGTCCTTCATCCGCTCCGACTCAAACCACTTTCGTCCACACTCTCCTCCGTGTTGTTCGTAACTCCGTCCAACTGCCTTAGTTCGTCGTCCGCTCGATTCTAAAAACCCCATCCTAGATCTACCGTACCACATCCCACCGCCGTAAACTTATATACATCGCCATTTCTGATCCGCAACAACGCTCAACACCTTCAGCAAAAACATAACAATACGACGTGCTCAAAATTGCATTATTGGTAACTTCTCTTCATTTTATTTCAATACAGTTTATAGTTGTTGGTTTATGTTGGTGAGAAGGTTCAATGAATGGATGTTAATTTTCTATTGATTATGTTTTTCTGTGTTTGTATGTATTTCTGCATTTATATTTCGATCGCCATTCCGTATCGTTGTGTTTGAGTTGAATCTGAGTGTTTTGATGGTTGTTTGAGTTTGTGTGGGCATTTTCATATTTGTTGTTGATATAAGAAGTTGACAACAGAGTGGGGTTCTAACTACTTTAAATCAAAAAAATGCTGATAGAGAGTGCTAACTATTTTTTTCTAGTAGTAAAGAATTAATTACATAGTGATTATCAATAATAATTTAATATAGGCCATTGTAATTTCATATTTTGAATTGAAAATAAACAAAGTTTTTATTTATTTTTGAAAGGAAAAATTCATGACAGATATTATTCAGCAATACTCATACACAATATTAGATCAATTTGCTGCAACATATTATTCAATTTGCACAAACTAGATATACTTCTACTATACTATCTTTAAGTTATCTTATAATTATAAATTTGAACGTTCTCCACTTTTTTCTTCGCAAAATTGCTACCCTTTCTGTTCACAAGAAACTTCCCCCAGTTGTAAGGTCTATACTTTGGAGGATTTTCCTCATTTGTCAGCTCCTCCAAAGGCTTGACTTCAGTGTAATGCGCAGGGAAGAAAAAGAAGGGAATTGAAAACCTTTCTCTTGTAGAGTTAACCATTACTCCTTGTTCCACACTCTCATATGCATCATTGCTCCAAACCTGCACAAATAATACAACTTCATTCATCTAACGAAAATATGCAGAAAAGCAGCATAGTATGAATTAGGGCCTATAGTGGTTTAATATAATAAAGCTAGTTTGATCCTTGAAGAATTCTTCAAACCTCTTTGCTTCTAGTCCTAAGCTCAAAGCTACGAGTTCAAGCAACCTATAGGCCAACTTTTCCACCTCTTGAATATACTCTTCAATGATAGCCCTGCTCATGTTCACGTAAATTTGGATTCATTTATGTGTCAAATTTCAACCGCTTTCAAAGAAAGCTATCTGATGCTCATTGTTTTGTTAGCATGAAGTTTTTTTGTGCTCAAATTCATGTGAATTCCTTTAGGAGATCTCGTCTTTTCTTGTCTTCTAGATTAAAACTCAGCTTGATAGGTAGAGGTTTTAAGGGTCTTCGCGATGCATATGTTAGTTTTCTTTTTTTGTTAGGATTCATGGTGACATTTTCTTACAGTTTAAGAAACTCTCAGTATGTTTTATTCATGGTGGTATTCTATTCCTTTAAATTTTATATGATTAGTTAGATAAATTACTTTCTATTCTTTAAGTTTTGCATGAGTAAATACCTATATTATTCCTTGGTGGCACTTTATTAGATAACTATTACAGTATTGGTTCTTTGTTCAATTTTGTTTAATAAGTTTGTAATTGGAATACCATTAATTCATGTGGAAATCCACATGTACTTTATCTGTATCTTTTCTTTTCTTTAGTTTACTACAAACAAAATTTTTAGTTCCTTTCAAATATAAGTATAATATTAGTATAATGTTATTTTAAGATTCATTGCTTTAGAAGGTTGTAGTAGCAGCGTAGCTTCCCAACTTCTCGATGACTGTGACTGTACTCTGCCTTTTGTTTGTGAAAACTTGTCTATTTTGGGTTATTAAAATTAATGTTCTTTAATCCCAGGTGATTTTGTATCAACTTTCAATCCTAATGTTAATGTGTTATTACAATGTTAGAAGTTAAGTAACTACACAATTACTCTACTCATTTACTTTGTATTCAATCCTAAGGTCTGTTTGTGAGAGCTGGTTGCATGGAGATGTTTTTTGTTTTTGTTTTTAGGCATAGACCTAGCTTTCACTATTTTAAGCAATGTCATAATTTTATCTTTATTTTTGATTTCTCAATACCTAAGACTTGCCTACACAAACTATGTTGGATACATCTCTCCAATAAGATATGTGTTTAGCTAACATTTGAAAGTTAGTGCTTCTTAATTATTATTGTCTCTGTGTAATTCTATATGCTTACTTGCTTGCTATGTTATTATGTTAGTTATTAAAACTAATACATATGCTAATGTGCTCTACTCATTAGTCATGTGACTTAATTTTCAATCAAGTTCGACGTGAAAAAACCAGGACAAGTTACTGTTATTATTTTAATACACACATTCATGCATACATAAGTTGATAAAATGTGTCATTTGATTATGTATTGATTATGGTTAGTAAGGATGTATGTTTTACTTGGTTGAAGTTAGACAAAACCTAACAGCAACTTTATGTTCATAATCTTTCTTCAATTTTTGTAGCAACTCTATTAGTTCCTTTCAAATATAATTATAATGTTATTTTAATTACTTGAGGGTGAGTTAACCATGTGATTATATCAATGTTGTGTGATGTGCAGGTTCTCCTGCGTCTTTCCCCATTCCCGCATTGTAACTCGCATCTGCTTAGTCTAACCAAGTTCGTTATGCCACTTTTGAATCCATCGATATCACCGTCCTTTCTTCTAAAGGTGACGTATTCCATTTCATCTCTTTTAATATTTATTAAATTTGTGTTTCATTTTCTCATTTTCTAATTATTTGTCTTTAGATCATTCACCGCCGTTGTTTCGGTTAAACCTCAATAGATATTTCATCGGTTTCAACATTGTTTGGGAAAGAAACGTCTCTGTTTCATTTACTAGCTTTGTTGTTGTTGTTGTTGCAGTGAAGGAAGTTGTGTTGAAATCGAAGTCGCTTTTAACTAAGGACAAGATTTTAGTTTCTATTACTGCTGGAATCAAGTTGAAATAATTCAGGTAACAGAACCCAGTCATTCCAATGCTTTCTGCACTGTAGATTAGTTTGAAAAGAAACAACAAATACATATTATATTAGACTATGAAATGTTCGTTCATAATTAGAATATAAATTAATTGTTCTTGTTTTTAAATCTTAACACACACCCCTCATGCAATAGCCCTGTGTTTTCCTACTCATGTTTATGCTAAAACTTCTCATCATTTTATCATAAGGAATCATACCTTATCCTACTCATGTTTATGCTAAAACTTCTCATCATTTTATCATATGGAATCATACCTTATCAAGTTGTAGTTTGAAAGCAAGTAATATCTCTAATTTCACTTGATAAGATCAAATACTTGTATATATTATTAATTCAAAGTCACAGCTAGTTAGACTTATTGGTAAGGGAAAAACACATGAATCCAAAGAAACATATGTAAAACACATCATCCAATGGATATAGACAAAGACAACCTTAAACTATCTCTTCCATGAAGTAACATATGTAAAATAGTTTAGCTCATTTATTTTATGTTTGTAATGCATGTTTAGATTAAAAGTTCACCAATTTATTCTATGTTTGGTATTGGAATGCATGTTTAGTGTATATTTAGATTATAAATGAAATTTTTATAATAACTATGCATTTGTAAAAGCTACGTTGATATATGAACCATGGTGTTTTTCCATCCTTTATATGATAAAGATTAATGTATAATTTATTTCATTTTAGAAAACCAAACATGATAAAGAAGGATTGGGTGGAGTTACCTCCACACAGTCAAAGTTATAAGGACAGTGTAAATTACTTTTTGGATATTGCATTCACCAAAGGAATGGTTGAAGAAGAAGAGATTTTGTGTCCTTGTTCTATATGTTGCAATGATAGTTGGGAAGTAAGAGATGTAGTGTATAACCATTTATGTAGTAAAGGATTTGTAAAGGGATACACTTAATGGATTTATTATGGTGAAGATGAGAGCCTTATAGATCTTGATGGTGATAGTGATGATGAAACATCATCTCATGATGATATCGATGGCTTACTATTTGAGACATTTAAAGATGTGGCTGAAGGAGGTGGAGTACATGAAGGGATAAATGAAGATGCAAAGAAATTTTATAAACTAGTTGATGATGCAAATCAAGAGTTGTATCCTGGTTGTGAAAAGTTTTCCTCGTTATCATTCACTATTCGAATTTATTTGTTGAAATGTCTCCATGGATGGAGTAATGCATCATTCACTGCTCTCGTAGAGTTGTTGAAAGAGGCTATGCCAGATTTGAACATCCCTGTCTCTTTCAATAAAACAAAATCTATGATAAAAGATTTGGGCTTAGACTATAAAAAGATTGACGCATGTCCGAACAACTGCATGTTGTTTTGGAAAGATCATGGGAAAGATGATTCATGTCATATTTGTGGCACGTCAAGGTGGATTGAATATCCTGAAGTTGCTAATGATCTTGAAGAATCTATAAAAGCTCATAAGGTTCCCGCCAAAGTTCTAAGACATTTTCCATTGATTCCAAGATTGAAAAGACTTTTTATGTGTTCAAAGACAGCCGATACATTGAGGTGGCACACAGACCATCGTTCAAGGGATGGGAAGTTAAGGCATCCAGCTGATGCCCAAGCATGGAAAGACTTTGATGCCAAACATTCAGATTTTGCTCGTGAAACTCGTAACATCAGACTTGGGTTGGCAAGTGATGGGTTTAATCCATTTAGGACCATGAGTCTTTCACATAGCACATGGCCTGTTGTATTAACAATATATAACTATCCGCCAAATTTGTGCATGAAGGCTGAAAATTGTTTGATGTCGTTACTTATTCTTGGACCAAAGTCACCCGGAAATGAAATTGATGTGTATTTGCAGCCACTAATTGAGGAGCTTAAGATATTGTGGGAAGTCGGTGTAGAAACATATGATATTTCAAAAAATCAATCATTTCAAATGCGTGCAGCTCTTATGTGGACTGTGAATGACTTCCCTGCATATGCTATGTTATCCGGTTGGAGTACTAAAGGGAAGTTTGCTTGTCCTGCTTGTAATCATAAAACTTCTTCAAGATACTTAAAACATAGTCGAAAGATGTGTTATATGGGTCATCGAGTCTTTTTGGATTCAAATCATAGTTGGAGATCAAATTCAAGTTCTTTTGATGGAAAGCCAGAATATAGGTCTGCACCCTCCTTGTTAGATTCAACAATGATTTTAAAAGACTTAGAAAAGATTCCTGACGTAGTGGGGCAAAAATATCATAAAAAAAGGCCTGGTCCATGGAAGAAAAAGTCTATCTTTTGGAAATTACCATATTGGAAGGATAATTCTTTGCGCCATAATATAGATGTTATGCATACAGAAAAGAACATTCGTGATAATATAATGGGGACTCTCTTAGATATTGAAGGGAAGAAAAAGGATCATGCAAAAGCTCGTTTGGACCTACAACATATGGGGATTAGAAAAAAACTCCATTTGAAGGAAACAAGTGATGGTAAGAAAACTCAAATCCCTAAGGCATGTTTCTCCCTAACAAAGCAAGAGAAAACTATTTTTTGTAATGTTTTAAAGACAGTAAAACTTCATGATGGCCTTGCATCCAATATTTCTTGATGTGTTCAAGTTAATGAAGGAAAAGTTTCTGGATACAAGAGTCATGATGCTCATATTATATTGCATTACTTGTTGCAAGTAGCAATAAGAGGGATAGGCCATAATCAAATTGTTATTCCTTTGCTTCGACTTTGTTCATTTTTTCGGTGTTTATGCCAGAAGGTTATAGATGTGAAAACATTGGATTACTTGGAAGTAGAAATTGCTGAAACACTTTGCCAATTCGAGCGTATCTTCCCTCCGAGTTTCTTTGACATAATGGTTCACTTACCAATTCACCTGGCAAATGAAGTCAGATTGGGTGGACCGGTTCAATTTAGATGGATGTATTATATGGAAAGATATTTGGGTGATTTAAAATCTTTTGTTCGTAATAGGAGTCGTCCAGAGGGTTCCATCGCTGAAGCATACTTAGTTAAAGAATCTCTAACATTTTGTTCAAGATATTTGTCTAGTGCTGTAGACACAAGGATGAATAGAATGACACGAAATAGCGATGATACTCCAAACATAGGTCATCCAATCGGAGGAAAGAAACTAATTTCCCTTGATCATAAGTCTCTAAATCAAGCTCACGGCTACATTTTATTCAATTGCGATGAAGTGCAAGAGTATATTAGGTACACTCATCTACTTGATACAAAATTTCATTCTCACTATAAGTTTTATTTTTCTTTTGTATTAAAATATTAGTTATTTATTTTGTAGAGAGCATGAGGTTAATGATCATAATCCTCTAAAAAAAAGGAAGTCCAGAAAAGCTAACAATCAAAGAGAAGATTTTATTCAATGGTTTGAAACACGTCTCATGGATGAGAAAGTTACTGAATGGTTGAATGTGTTGTCTAGGGGACCAAATGATGTTGTTAGAAGGTATTTTGGTTATGTTATTAATGGATACAAGTTTCATACAACAAATCGTGAAGCAAGGCTTAAAACATAAAATAATGGTGTGACATTAGAAGCTGTGACTCAAGTTCTTAGAAATGCGAAGGATGAAAATCCCAAAAAGATTTGTGTGACTTACTATGTGGATGAAAAGGATAAATATGGATCGCCGTTGGTTTACTTTAACAAAAAATGCTACAAAAATGATCCATTTGTGTTGGCATCTCAAGTTCAACAATGCTTCTTTATTGAAGATCCTTTAAACAAAAACAAACACTATGTTCTAAATGCACTTCCAAGGGAATCATTTGACATGGGAGAATCTTTAAGTACATATGCCCAAGAATATGATATTTCAACAAATCTTAATACATTAAGGGATGATTGTGAAGTGGATTTGGTTAGGAAAGATTTGCCGGATGATATCTTTGAAATTCCTTTGTCAGAACTTCACAACCAAAAAGCAATAGAGAGTGATCACAGTGACACGAGTTATGGAAGTGACGATGAAACCGATTATGATTCTAGTACTGATTAGGTAGCATTGACAATGTGTTTTACCAATTTTTTTAATAGATTTTGAGTAGAAAATAGATTTGTTCAAAGTTTAATTTATGGTTAAGCATGCTGTCATTTTTTTACTTAAACCATAACAAACTAGATTCAAATATACTGTTAATTTATGGTTATGCATAATGTCACTTTATACTCAATTTTTCATTATATAATTATGTAATTTTCCCCCTTTGTAGATCATAGTTGTTGGCCATAATGGACAATGTAAGAAGTGTAAAAGATGGTGGATCACATAGGAAGAGTGGTTGAAGTCCTACTAAAAGATTTGATTTTCCTTTTCAAGTAAGATCAAGTGCAGAATTGAGAAATAAAGTGCTACAACATGTTAAGAAAGAAAAAATTGACAAGTTACATGAGATGCTAAAAGGAAACAATAGAGAAAGGGTTCAGGAAATTATAGAAGTTGTGGACGGTAAATCATTTTCTTGTTTAATTTTATTTTATATAAAATGATGTATGTTAAAGTTATGTTTTGGAATTCCTTTAGATATATTATTCCTACTGTTTTTTAATGAATTTTTACAAAAATTAGAAACACCAAAAAAAGGAACTCAACAAGAAAGAGTTCAAAAGGTTGATCACAATTTGGACAAAGAGACTATTGCAAAGAAAATGGAGATAGACAAACTCTCGCAACCAAAAGTAATGAAAGATCATGCACATGGTGACAAAGAAGTTGTACAAGGTAAGTGATTTTTAAATTTTTCTATTATGCATATATTACATGAAATTATTCCTAATATCTTTTGGTGAATTTTTACTAAAATTAGAAACACCAAAGAAAAGAACTCAAGTGAAAGCTACAGTGAATAGAGAAAGAATTCAAAAGGTTGATGGAAAATTGGACAACCACATTGCTATGAAGAAAGCAGAGAGACCTAAGATTTTGCAACCACAAGCTAAGGAAGTTTTTGCACATGGAAACAAAGAAGTTTCACAAGGTAGTTAATATCCCTGCATATACTTTAAATTTATATATTTCTTTTCATGACATTATTATGACGAGAAAATTACATTGAAACCAGGAATGCTGAAAAAAAGAATTCATGAGAATCTACTAGAGAACAATAGAGATAAAATTCAAGAGGTGGAAAAACCAGTTGCAAGGAGAATACTTATTTCTTCCAAAAATAAGAAACCAGAGAAATCTACTCTATCTTTGGACACAATGATGTCAAAAGCTGAATGCTCTAAAAAGCTAAATAGGGTGCCAAAATGCCCATCAATGTTGATTGATGATTATGTAGATCTTCATAAGTCAAAGGAAATGGATGCAACCAAGTCAAACAATGGAGAAAAACTGGGCAGCAGCGTTAACCGTAGCTCTAATCAAAATCAGCCAAAAAAAGGAACTCGACAAGAAAGTGTTTAAAATCGGGCAAAAGTCAACGAAGAAGATGCAATCACAAATAGAGAAAAAGAAAAAGGTAATTAGTTTCATATTTCATAATAATGATTTCATGTATTATTTACATATTGGTAGCAAACATGTGATATCATGTTGTTGTGTTGATTACTTTATAGAAACATCCCAAAGAAAAACTCGTGGGAAAACTTTGTGCAAAAAGATTCATGCAAGAACTTTGGAAGAGCGAGTAGAAGTGACCTTTAATGAGGATTTTCAGCCAATTGGTCCTAGTGAAAAAGTAGTATCTGACTTGAGCCTCTTCTTGGGAACATTGGCTAGGAACTCAACATTTTGTCCTCTACGTTACACCAATTGGTCAGGAATGCCAGATGATAATAAAAACCGTTTCTGGAGATATACTAATGTATGTTTTTATCTATGAATTTGAAAGTATAATTATTAAAAAAAGTGTTTTATTTCTTGATCTTGTCTTATCTTATAATTTATGTAGCGGAAGTTTGTCTTGCCGGTTGAAGCACGAGATTGGATTGAGACCACTGTTAGAGAGACATGGAGAAGATATAAGCACAAAATTAAGAAGAATCATTTTTTGAAGTATTCCAACATGACCGAGAGACTCAAAAATCGTCCACCAAACGTGCCAATAGCCCAGTTTAAGAGTCTTTGTGCTTATTGGAGTAAGGAAACTATACAAGTAAGATTAATAATTTTTTTTATGTATGTGTGTGAATTTACACCTTTCTATGTATGCCATAATTAAGTAATATTTATTATAATAATTCCGTCAAATTTAAATGTAGGCAATCAGTGAAAATAACACTAGAAATAGAGCTCAACTAAAGTGGATGCATCGAATGGGTCCCAAAAACTTTGCTTTGACTCGTGAAAAAGTGGTAACTTTCTTTTGTTCTCAATAAAGTATTCCTTGTATGAATGTTTCTTTGTTCAATTAAAGTATTCGTGAAAAACTTTTCTTTGACTCGTGAATAGGAATTTTAATTCACATGATTTGTTATGGAATTATTTTGATTTGTGCAGCGTGAAAAGGAAAAAGAGAGCCCACTCAATCAGAAATGTTTGTTGAAACTCGAAAAGGAAATAAAGGAAAGGAACTGGATGTAGAAACTGGAAAAGTAATTGTATGTAACATTGTTTATATAATACATTTGCTTAATATAATCGGCCAACATTGTCTATAATAGTAGTTAATTTTTTTTTGTTGTAATTTATGCTAGTCCCAACTTCAAGAAATGGTTGAAAAGGAGGAAAGTGATACAGAAGCTTTTAAAGTTATTTTTGGAAAGGAGTGTCCAGGCAGGGTACGCTGTTATGGGAGAAACATAACTAAAACTTCCTTAAAGAGAAAGGCAGAGATTAATGCTTTGAAACAAGCCCACAGTGAAGAGGTCTCTACATTAAGGGACGAGTTTCAAGATAAGATTGATAGATTGCAAAATACTTTTAAGACCGTAATACAACAATGCAATCCTCAAATTAATATAGAGTCAATTGAAGATTTGTTAGGATTATCTCATGGAGATGCTAATATTTCCCCAAAGGATATAAGACCGCAAATGCATTCATCTACATCAACTCATGCTCCATATCATAGAAAGGTAACCATATATACCAATATTATTGATTTATATTTTTCTAATTATGTTATAGTATCAGAATGGTTGTTAATGTATGCAAAAATTTGCAAGTAGTGACAACACCTAGAATAAAGTAAGTGGTTGAAATTGTTTAAGTAGTGACAACACCTAGAAGTGGCTGAAACTGTTTAAGATTTGTTATATGCAAAAGAGAAAAATCTAAATTTTCAACTTTAGACATATAGACTTAAAGTAAAACATTGAGTATTTTTTTATGAATATTCCTGGTATGAGAAGATAAGTAAAGTAATATAAAGCCCACCCATGACATGAGATGTGAAGAATATAAACAATGTGTTTTGCTCATTGGTTTAGTTTTTATTTGTGCGAGGTTTAATTCTTGTTGATGTCTTAATTGTCCTTTGGACCAAAAATATTTATGGTTGATGTGTTTTATTTTATTTTCTTATGCAGCAATGTATCAATGAAGATGTTGAAAAGGACGATATAAATGATGAAATTCAAGAGGACGACATAAATGATAAAATTCAAGAGGACGACCTAAATGATAAAATTCAAGAGGACGGTGTAGATGACGAATTTCAAGAGGACGACATAGATCTAGATGATGAATTTCAAGAGGACGATATAGATGGTGAATTTCAAGAGGACGACGTAGATGAAGAATTTATGGAGGATGACATATCTAACGAATTTCAAGAGGATGATCTGGATGATTTACTCTTAGAAGACAAACTTGAGTGAGTTGGATGATGTCTTTTTTTTTGCTTGTAGTTGAAAGCATTATATGATTTTTGTTCTTTTGTTGAACTATGTTTTAGTTATTTTACTAAGGTCATACTTCAAAGTATTAAAAGTAATGTTACGCTAGGCATTTTGTGTACTCTATATATTATATCATGAATTAAAGTTTGAACTCAATTTTATTATATTACAACTTTTATGGATGTATGGTTTAAGTTATATAATCAATATTATTTTTGAAGCCAATTATTATTGACTATATTATTTTGATAATAATTGCAAAATTGTATATTTTATGTGGACACTATAAAACAACAACCTATAAGCTATGGCTACACTTCAAAAACGACCTTCCTGATTCAGGTTTAAGGCAACGATTGTTAATTGTAGCCGAATTTGGCAACGCTTAAAAAACGTCGTCTCAGAGGCCGCAAATAATCGTCCCCTATTCCTTTTCTATAGGCGATGTTTTTCAAAAGCGTGCCCAAAAAACATTAAAAAAAACGTCGCCTCAAACAATAGGCAACGCTCGCACAGGAGACGCCTAGAAAACGTCCCCTATTTGTTTAGGCAACGATTTTCAGAGTTCTGGCAACGCTTTTCAATTGTTGTTGGAGAGGCTAAATGTTGTAGTGAGGGTCCATAATGATCCATGAAATTAATTTGAAGCATTAGAAGCCCAATTTTCCTTGTGCAAACTCAAACTCTAATTTGAGGTATCAATGTGGAGGAGATGGCTTGACCAAGTCAATACTTGTGCAAGCTTGAACTTTTGAAGATCTTTGTGAGAAATGTCTTGAGAAAAGAGAGGGAAAATTTTGTAGTACAACAGCTTGGTCTGTCCAATGGGCTTATCACTATGTGGAAGGAAGGTAACATGGATGTACTTTGTAGCTTCAAAGGTGATGGTTAATTGGGTGCGAAAGTATATTGGAAGAACAACATTTACTATGTCTTTAACATTTATTCTTCGTATTCGTTGGGGTTAAAAAGGGCCTTTTGGAAGAATATGTCGGGGTTAAATTCTCGCTATTCTGATGGTGAATGGTGTTTATGTGGTGACTTTAATGATGTTAAGGATGTTAGGGAGAGGAAGGGTAGATCGTTGGTGAGAAGGAGTAGCGAATTGAAGCGATTTGTGGAGTTCATCGAGGATAATTATCTCGTGGATGTTACTTGTAAGGGGAAGTGTTTTAGTTGAGTTAGTGGTGACGGGAAGGCTAGGAGTAAGAGGAGGCAGAGGAAGGAATGAGTTAGGGGTTTCAATGAAGCTGACAATTTACTTGAGATCGATTTGGCTTCAGATTTATAGGAGATTTTTAAGAAGAGAAGGGAAGCTACGAGTCGCTTCTGGTTGAATCTTAAGATTAAGAAGAATATGTTTATTTAGAAATCGAGGTTGAAATGGCTTAACGATAGTTATTCATACAATAGGTATTTACATAGTGTCATGAAGGACAGGAGAAGGCGCAATTTCTTCGGATCGATCAATACAGATAAAGGTATTTTGGAGTCGGTTTTTAAGGTCAAGGAGGAGGTTTTTAATCACTTTGTTAGTAAGTTTTGTGAACCTGAAGCAAGCAGACCGATGATTGAAGGGGTTTCTTTCAAAATGCTTTCTCATTCCGACAGGTTCTTTCTTGAAGCTCCTTTTTCGGATGTTGAGGTTAATGAGGCGGTTTAGGGGTGTGAAGGCTCGAAAAGTTCGGGTCCTGGCGGGTACTCCTTCTTTTTCTTAAGGAGGTGTTGTCATTTTCTTAAGGATGATTTTGGTCGTTTCTTTAAGGAATTTCACGGTGGGGCTGTTTTGTCGAAGGCGATCATTTCGTCGTTCTTGACGCTTATTCCAAAATCTACTAATCTGTTGGGGTTGGACGATTATAGGCCTATTTTCCTTGTCGGATGTCTTTATAATTCTATTTCCAAACTTTTAGCGGCAAGGTTGAAAATGGTTTGAATTCTATTGTATCCTCTTGTCAAAGTGCTTTTGTGCCGAGAAGACAATTACTTGACACTGCGTTGGTGGCTAATGAGTTATGGCTAATGAGTTAGTGGACTACGCGAGTAAGGAGAAGAAGGGTTGTATGCTCTTCAAGGTTGATTTCAAAAAATCTTACGACAATGTTAGTTAGGACTTTCTTAGAACCATGTTACATAAGATGGGCTTTGGTGATCTATGGATGAGATAGATGGGAACAACCATTTTTTCGAGTAAAATGTCGGTTTTAGTTAATGGCAGTCCCACTAAGGCGTTTACAGTAGAGAGGGGGTTGAGATAAGGCAATCCGTTATCTCATTTCCTTTTTGTTATTGTTGCGGAAGGGTTGTCGATTTTAGTTAGAATATATTTGGAGTTGAAAATTTGCGAGTTTTAATGTTAACGGTAAATGTAACATTGATATTCTTCAATTTGAAAACGATACTCTTATGGTGGGTGATGGTAGTTTGAAGCATATTTGGGCCATTAAATCAATTCTAAAAGGGTTTGAGTTAGCATCGGGGCTTGGTATCAATTTTCATAAAAGCAAGCTAATTGGTATTAATATTAGCGCTAATTTTATGGAGGCGGCAGCGAATTTCCCTTCGTGTAGGATGAAAGACAAAACCTTCAATTTTCTTGGCATTCCTATAAGGTTAAACCCGAGGAGTATTTCTTCATGGGAACCTTTACTTTTTAAATTGAGGAATCAATTATTTTGTTAGAGGAGTCGTTTCCTTAGTTTCGGGGGTAGAATCATTCTCCTAAAATATGTCCTTTGTAGCCTTTCAATTTTTGTTCTTTCATTTTACAAAGCCCCCGTGAAAATTCGCAACGAAATTATTAAGCTTCAAAGAAGTTTTCTTTGGGGAGGTACAGAAGATCATAGAAGAATCCATTGGTGAGTTGGAGTGATGTTTGTTCTCCTATTGTTCAAGGTGGTTTAGGTTTAAAAAGGCTCGATGATTTCAATATTGCGCTTCTTCTCAAATGGAGATGGATAATTTTAGAAGGATCAGACACTCTTTGGTTTCATGTTCTTAAGGCGCGTTATGGGGATATTTGAATGAAGATGTTTGCTTCCGGGAGTTTCCTCAACAATAGGGAGACTAAATCCGCTTGGTGGCTGAACCTCCTTACTCTTTACAAGAAGCTGCTTGTGGATTCTTTTATTAGAAGTTGCAGGTTCTCCATAGGAAACAAATATTCTACATCATTTTGGCACGCTCTGTGGTGCGGTGACAACAGTTTGAGGGACTGCTTTCCGTGTCTGTTTTCTGTGTCTTTATTGTAGGGAGTTTCTGTTGCTGGGATATGGGAGATGACGCGATGGTGTTTGGTCCTAGGGTGATTTTGGGATAATGGATCATGTGAATCTCACCATGGCAACTAAGTTACAAGGCCTTCGTTTTCTGCTGCGGACTGTATCTCCTGCAGTAGACAACCAAGATCTAATGGCTTGGGGAACATATATAAGCGATTGTTTTACAGTCAATTCGACTTAGGACCGTTTGTGCAGGTTTCGATTTCCTTTTGGCCCTTCTAACTGGTTTGACAGAGCTTTGGGTTTGGTTTGGAAGGTTGTGGTGCCTTTCAAAATTAAGGCTTTTGGTTCGAGGTGCTTCTTGAAAAGATTACCGACGAAAAATCTATTATGTATTAGAGGTATTTTTCCCCTACTAGTGATACTAATTGTGTTTTTTGTTCACCTGTTTTGTAATCTCTCGAGCCTTCTATTCTGTTTTGCCGTGTCTCTGTGTTGGTTTGGAACGAGATTGTGGAATGGATTGGTATTAAGGATTATAGAGGAAATGTTTCCAGAGCAGTTTTCTAAATTGGTTCCCTTTTTGTAAGGCTAAGAAGGTGAAGTTAGGCAAAAAAATGTTGTATTTGGTTGGCGGTTTGTTGGAATTTATGAGCTTTAAGGAACAATATCATTTTTAAGAATGTCAGTTGGAGTGTTTTGGATATTATTTGGAAAGTCAAGACACCGGTGTGGAGTTGGTCCTTTATTAGAGATATTATCTATCCTAATTATAATTTTTATGAATTCAACAAAAATCTTTTGTTTTATATGTCTTAAGATGCATTTGGTTTGTAATCTCCCTGTTCTCGAGTTTCGTCTCTCTTTTTTGTAATCGGGATTGAGTACCTTTGTATTTCTATCAAAATATGTTGCTTATATATATATATATATATATATATATATATATATATATATATATATATATTATATGAGAGCGAGAGAAAAAGATAACAACTATTTGATTTAGAATAAAAGGTTGAGATTTAATATCTCATTACATGATTTTTTTTTTCTCAACAGTTTTTAGTTGAGAAAAAAAAAGGATTACATGTCGACAAAGAATATTATGATTATATAAGAACTAAACATTAGAAGCTAGCAAAAGGAATCAATCACCTGTTTTATTTTTCTTAACCAGCATGGTTGAAAAAAATATATTCTCAACAGTTCTGAGTTTTACTAGAGAAATTATGAAGAGTAAATTCAATGCTTTACTGACAGCTTGCAAATCAAACATCTTCATAAGTGATAAGAGTTGCAAGAAGATGAATGTCTCATTGTAGTTTTGTGTTAAAAAATCTTCCAATGCAAAGGTTCTCCACGTGACACCGATGGATGGATGCATATGTGGGAACTTGGAGCGACAATCCATCTGTACATTATCGCAGGTGTTTCCAATGTGGAACAAAACTCTCTTCTCATATTTGCTACAAAAAGATGCAGCAAGTTAATATCAAAGTTGGTAACATTCAAATGACATAAATATCAAAGGTTGTTGGACAAATCAAGAAAAGCAAATGATCTTCCGCTGAACTTATAGTTTTTTGTTATACTCATTGTAGCAACCATGTTATATTTTGTATTGAAATGTTTACAAATAAATAAGTCTATAACTCATAGAAAATTATCTTACATGATATTGAATATCTAAAATTATGCACCAGTTTTTAACTAGTAAGAAGTAACTCATAAGAATATCTACCTGAAGAGTCATGTACGAAAATCAATATACACTATGGCCGGTGGACATTTTTTAATAAAGCAGTCCACAAGACTTCTAACATTCTCATCTAATATATTTGATGGATTCACTTTGAATTTCAATGACTTCAATCTAACAAAGTAAGGAAGTTGAGTTATGGTTGAATCAGAAGAGCGAAGTAGAACCTGCACAAATAGAGCGTATTAGACATGTGTGAAGCTTGTCAGGCTTAAAACCCTTGTTTTGAAAATTCATGAGTGAATTATAATGAAGAGATTAAAAATGAAATTAAAAAAGGAGAGAACATATGAAGGAGTTTACCTTAAGGGTACTCCAAGAAAGCTTCAATATCTTAACATAGTTAGCAAGCACTTGGAGGCAACTAATTAAGCCTGAATAAGTAATCTCATAAAACATATGAACATTTTCTTTGACATCAATATTGACTTGTTCAAGAAAAGAGATATTGCATACAGAAATCTGGTGAATGAGATCACGCGTGAGTGTGATAGAATTGATGTTTGGAGTAGAAAGCACAATTTTGTAACCTACTTCTTGAATAGTACTTCCTATTGTTAAACTAGAAAGATTGGAATTAGATACACAAAGTAAACTTGTTCCGCGATGTAGATTACAGCATTCGAGGACTAAAGTGTTCAATGCATGACAATTTGAAAATGGATCAGAAACGCCATTTTCATTTGCAGTAAAAGTGACATACACAAGATGCAAGCTTTGTAATGCTGGTAAATGCAATGAAGATGGAAGTTGTGTCATACAAGGGACAGCCCTAACGGAAAGCTTAAGATTTGTCAAAGATTGGCAAGAAAATATGCAAATGTGCAACGAATAACCACGACTAAAACTCAAATCAACTCCAAGTCTTAAACTATGGACATCATGTGAGTTAGCATATGTCATGATCTTATCAACGAGTTCAGGTCGAATGCAACCTTTTCGCCTCAAATCAATATCATGCATAGAAACTGAATCATCTCGATGATACAGAATCGAAGACACAAACGAGGTGAAATGGGGTGTACCACGGGAAAAGTCGGAGAAATTCAATGCAAGATTTGTGAGACGTCGCCAAAGATCCTTCCATCTTGAAGACAATATACAAGTTTGCACAGCTTGTTTTGTGTTGATGAGTTTCATCATATGAAGCAAGACATGGTCCGGTAAGTCACTGAGTCGGTCCCTTTTCTCTTTTCTATCTCTTCTATTCTTCATCTTTAACTTCAACTTCCCTTAGTTTTCTTTAGCCTTCAATCTAATGAATATCATCATCATCCAATGAAATTAAGAAAACTCTTTTAGAAGAATAAAAAAACAGATAACAAAAGCTACGTGATGGAAAAAAAAAAAACTCTTTTAAAAATGAAATCTAAAACCAGAAATACACATTAGCACATCTAAAATGACTGGAATAAAATACAAATACTATGGTTTGAGTTTACTTTTGAAACAACAATGGTGTTCATTAAGTATGTATATCGAATGTTAAACTAAAAAGCAGCACCTTTCAATACAAAAACTATAAATAAAAAGTAGAATGCATAGGAAAAAAACGCAAGATGTAGTGATTGGCTTCATACGTTAATGGTGAGGTTTAATTAAGAAGAAAGTTTATCAGAGTAAAAATAGTTACCTTGTAGGGTTTGAATCATTTGAAGTTGATAGAGGATCCTCAAAGCATTTTTTAACTGAGAGAGAATAAGGAGCTAGCTACTTGTGAAATGAGTATGCACATACCATAAGATTGTTAATAAACTTTGTTAGGATAGGTTCATAGGCCTTGCTGCACCTAGATTATTGTGTTGATATGCCAACTGTTCGGAATGTGTATAAGAGAAGCCTCACTCCCTCCTCCATATATATTAATACTACCAAAAATGTTAGATTTGAATGAATGAAGAAAATGTTTAAAATGAATTTCTTTTTTTTAACTTCTAAACTTAAAATTAATTACTCTCATTGTCTTGTAACAAACGATTATACTCGCTTTAATATATATATATATATATATATATATATATATATATATATATATATATATATATATATATATATATATATATATATATATAATACAAAATATAAAATGCATTGTACCCTTATGTTGTTAAGAGTGGTCAAATGTTTTAGTAATTTTTTGTGGGTTAGAGTTTGCTCAGAGTGATGAGAGACTCAATTTGGTGGTGTTTACAGTGATGAGAGAATAATCTCACGTGAGATGATAATCTCTATAGCTTTTGGGGGTATATGCCGTATGTATTACGACTTGTACTTCTCAACCCTAAGGTGAGAATCTATATACACTAAATATTGTCTCTCGTAACACTTGAAAAACATTGTCAGAACTGGAAATCGTTGTCTAAAAGAATGAGAAACGTTTTTTAGGCGTCTCCTGTACAAGAGTTGTCTATTGTCTAAGGGAACGTTTTTTCATGTTTTTTGGGCACGATTTTTAAACATCATGGAATAAAAAACAATTATATGTGGCCTCTGAGGCGACGCTTTTTAAGTGTTGGATTGTTTTTAAAGTATAGCCATAGTTTATAGGTTGTTCTTTTGCATTGTCCCCATTAAATATACAAATTTGTATTTATTTTTTAAATAATATAGTCGATGATGAATGGCTTAAAAAAAATATCAATTATAATTTAAACAAGATCAAATTTAATCGTATCTTACAACAATTATAAATTGTCTCCTAAAAGTGAAATATTGACAACAATGATAAATATATTTATAAGTTGCAAGAAATATTTTTATCATAATTTTCATAAAATAAACAATTCAAACAAGAATTACACCAAACATAAATTGCATGCACCACAAAAATTGTAATCCTCTTTATCACCTATGTCTTCCTCTTGAAGTTCATCAGTAACTTAATCCACATCACTTGAGTCAACCTCATACACATTTCTTGAAGTTAGGACTGGCAAAAATTACATGAAAAATACTAACCACTATTATCAGCTCTACATATTAAGATGCAAATAATATGATATAGTCCGCAAAGAATCTACTAATGTCAGTAAGCTTATATGGAGGAAGCACCTTGATGTCATGGTAGTGGGGGAACTCAGGGTCATTAACACAAACTACAATCTGCTATGATCTTGTCATCTTTATGTCCTGTGTCAGAATTCAATGGGAGAAAAAGTTAAAGCATATCATTTCATTCACTTACCTCTCTAACACGTTAGAGTATAAAACAACACAATTCATTTATTTTCATCTAGCATAGTAAGCTTCTAGAATAGTATTTAGTTTATGACATGATATTAGAGTCACTATGACTAAGTGGACAAAGTTTCAAAATCTAAGAAGTTATCCGATACAATACTACATAACTAGAAATCCATCAATATCCAAAACTTAAACAAAGTTTTAAAGAATCTCAACCTATCAATCAAAGCATAAACTCATCAAGAATAGGGGTGTTCGCGGTGCAGTTTGAGCGGTTTTGAAGCAAAAAATCATCCAAACCGCAAGAGAAAAAAATATGCGGTTCGATTTGGTTCGGTTGACTTTTAAAAATAAATCCGAACCAAACTAAACCAAATTAATGCGGTTTAGATTAATTCGGTTGTTTCGGTTTTTTACAAAAATAATTATTATGTCATACATACAAATATATAGGAAAATATAATTTTATATTTAATTATTCATACATTACCATAAAAAATTTATAATTGTCAAAATAAATTTATAATTTGATACATAAAATTGCGTATTATAATTTTATCTAAATCTAAATAATGATATCAACAAGATTGCATTCTTAAATAAATATTATACAAAAAATATGATAAAATATATTTTGTGAAAATAGTATTTATAAATGAATAATATTTTATTTTTTATGATTTGTAAATTAAAATGAATATAATACAAAGTATGATAAAATATACACATAATACATGTTGATTTCTCTAAAGAATTATAGAAATATATATCGGTTAGTAAGATTTTATAACATAATGCGATTTTGTTTGGTTTGGTTCAGTTTGTAAAATACAAACCGCAAACCGAACTGAACCATGCGGTTCTACGAGAAAATGACCCAAACACATCCGAACTAAATGTGATTTTTTGTGGTTTCGGTTTGTTCGGTTCGATTTTGCAGTTTTCTATTGGGCCGGTTTGATTTTGAACACCCCTAATCAAAAATATGTAAATTGAAAACAACAATACACAAATAAGCAATCCAATTTATTTTTTTACTTGCTAATATAACTGAAATCTCCCCACTGTATCGTGCGGCCGCGATACACCCCTTGTTTTCTATAAATTTGTTTTTGATTCAGGGTCTGTGTTATCTTTTATTTATCTTTTCTTATTTAAATTATTATTTGTTATTATTAATATTATAACTATAATTTATGTATTATTCTTTTTAAAAATCGAAAAACAAAACAAACAAATGAAGTAACTCAGGTACGCATGTTATAGTCCTTTTACAATTATTATTTTATTTATTTATTTTTTAATTATGTTTATCCTAATGTATAAGGTAATTATTATTTTATTTTTAAAAATCTAAAAAGGACCAACAAGATACCACTATGTGACGTCACATGTCCATTATTTTTCTTTCTTTTTTTTATTTAAATTCCTTAAAATTGATCCCTTTTATCTCTAAGGGATATTTTTCAAATATTGTCAAAAAATTAACATAAATTTTATATGTTTGAGAATTGTCAAAAAAAAAAAATGTTTGATGGGAAGATTGCCGCTAAAATTTGTTTTAAAACGTTATATTTTTAGGCAACATTTAATAAATGTAGTCATTTGTTAGAAATAGACAATTCCAAAACGTCCCCTAATACTCTCTAAGGGGACAATTATAGAACGTTACAAAAATAGTAACATAAGGACAGTTAAAAAACGTACTCATAAAGGGTTTAGGGGACATTTAAAAGTTGTTGTAAAAACATTGATGGCATCAAGGGAAAAACGTTGCCAGAAATACTTTTTTTACAACAATTTTTATATGTTGCATAAAAAGTGTTGTTAGAGACAATAAATGTTGTAGTGATAGTTTTAGGACGTGAATTTTCTTAAGAATGATAAGTGCTCATTTAGGTAGTGGTGAACCGTTGAATCCTTATTTTCTAGGGAGATGTGGATTAGTCAGCTGATCATGACTTCACTCTAACAAATGAGCATCTTTTCCCATTGATGGGCGAATATGGCACATTTAAGACGAGATGTTCCCTAGCTGCAAACGACATATGAGAATCGTCTCTCAATGGTGATTATCATCCTCTCGCCCTAAATAGGCCTTTTATAAATATATCATTACACAATCTCTCAAGCATAAGGGTTTTGATAAAGGGCGAAGTGCTTCAAATGATACACTACTACAAATAACGCATCTAATGTCAGACGCGAAATGCGTTTTACCTCGGCGTCTAAAGCGGGGTAAATAAAATCGTCATGAAAAGTAAAGACTTATCACCTCGATGTTTAAAATATTGTTGGATATTTTAATAGCGCATGTGTTTGATCGTCACCGTCTGCATTTTTATTATTTACAATAATAGCGCCTCATGTATCTTAGTTTATCAATAAAATCAAGGGGTAAATTAGTAGTATTTTTTAAATTTAAACTGGTTACATTGTTTAGACAGAAAATTAATAAAATAATTTATTTACAAATAAAATGTTTACCCAGAATATTAAACTGGTTACATTGTTTACACAAAATATCAATATAAAATTTAAGTTGTCCATGAAGATCATATGTTGGATCTTCAAATCCTTGATATCCTAGGAAGATCAAATGTTAGAAAACAATATATTCTCAATTGCTTTTCCTTGCATTTATTTATGATATTAACAATATAAAAAAGGTTAGATAAATAAAGGGTTAGATGAAAAAAGGGTTAGATAAATAAATATTTTAGTATGCAAACTTTAAACGCATATAATTTTCTTCTCTTGCAATCCATCATAGATAACACTTCATAACAAAGACTCTAGCATATCTTAAAGTAGAGGATAGTTTCAAGCGCTTCATGACATTTTATTATCAAATTTTGATATTCATAATACTTTTATAATGGAAGTTAACCTAGGTTTCACGCGGATCACTAATTGTAGTGTCTTGAGCATTGACAATCATGAAATGGACGACAAGAATTTAATTAAGAGCGGTGACAAATATCAATAATTTTAACACTAAAATATCCTCTCGATTTTGAGAAAAACCGAGG